ACATTTTTGCTTTCCTCTTATGTGGCCTCCCTGCAGCATTCAGCACTGTTGGCCACCACCCCTTACACCCCTTATCTGGAAGCTTTTTTGACATGGTGATAAAATGGATGCTGTATGTGACCATTCCCCTGGGACCTTCTGTAAGGGTCCCTGCACTAGAAAGGAGGTTGGAGTCTAAGGCTTTAAAAACAGGAAAAAAAAAAAAAAAAATGCTATCAAGTTGATTCCAATTTGTCACAACCCTATAGGAGATGGAGTAGAACCACCCCATAGGGTTTCCAAGGCTGTTAATCTTTAGGGAAGTAGACACCCATATCTTTCTCCCACAGAGTCATAGAGTAAGTTCCAACCACTGACCTTTAAGTTAGCACTTAACCAATGCACCACCAGGGTTTCTATGGCTTCTAAAGTCACTCTCAAACCTAAAGCAATTCAATTCCTGTGTTTTAGTTAAAAAGATATTGAACTGACTCTGATGCATTCAGGACTCACTGAGATTTGGCTCTACACAGGACAGAGTAGGCACATGCCATGTGCTGTGATCTGCAGGACACCAGAAATTGTACTTGTCCCAAAATATCTTGCCCTCTGCCTGCTCTGAGACATGAAATTCCTACCATGTGTTTACTCTATTTTGTCTGTTTTCCCCTCACTCCCAGAAAAGACTATAAACTGCTTGGAGACAGCAACTATTTCAGTGTTATTACTGTTGACATATTGTAGATGTTCAAAAGATGTATTGAATGAACAAATTAATGAGTGGGTGAATGAATGAGGGGCCATATTTGATCTTAATTCTAAAAACCTACAGGCTTGTAGGCATATTATTGGCATATTTGGTTGCACTTAAAGACGACAGCCAACAAAGCAACTGAAAAGCACTGTTTCATTGGCAGTGCTTTTCCTGAGGGAAGTTTGTTTCATGCAGCCCTTGTCCCCACAGGAGTGATCACCTATGCAATAGGTGTTGCTTGGGCAGCACAGGACGAGCTGGAAGTCATCGCCACTCACCCTGCCAGGGACCACTCCTTCTTTGTGGACGAGTTCGACAACCTCTACAAACCTGTCCCCAGGATCATCCAGAACATTTGTACCGAGTTCAATTCCCAGCCACGAAACTGAGCTCAGTCAGAGCAGGCAAAGCACCAGCAAATGCAGTTCTACCAGCTGGTTCTTTGGACAGCCCCCAGCGCTGCAGGGGGCAGACAGGAGGCATGGAGGGCTGCAGATACAGATGTGTTCTCATTCTTCTTTGCCATTGTTATATCTCATACTTCAAAACTTGAAGTTAGAAAGATGAACATAAATTTGTAAGATGAGCTGAAATAATACATCATTTTGAGGATAACAGGGATTTTACATTTTGACAGTTGCTTTCAAAATAAATGTTCAGGAAAAAAAGTATAGCACTTCTGGCAGGGTGAAGTGGAGCTTTTAGAAGGGTTTTTTTTGTTTTTGTTTTTGTTTTTGTTTTTGTTTTTTCCTTTATTCTCATTAGAACTCTGTAACTCTCAACAAGTTTATTTTGTCGTGATATTGTAGGAGTTGCTTCATTAAATGTTTACCAAGATTATGTCCAATCATTCTGGCTGTTATGGGTAGCGCTCCTGGGGTCCTGGGGCAGGGGGAGCTCCCTCCCTGCCCTCCTCCTTTCCAGAGCACCTGCTGTGTGCTCCAGCGGCCAAGCTGACAACACACCCACAGAGGAGCAGAGAAAGTGAGGCAGCAGTATAGCTTCTCCCAATTTGCCTCCCTTTTCACTATCATCAAGGAGCTCTGGTGGCACAGTGCGTAACGCATTTGACTGCTAACCAGAAGGTGGGCAGTTCAAACCTACCAGCCACTCTCCGAAAGAAAAGAGGGCAATCTACTTCCATACAGATTTACTGCCTCAGAAACCCAACGGGGATCGCTATGAGTCAGAATCAACTCAATGGCAATGGGTTGGGTTTGGTTTTGGTTTTCACTATCATCAGAATCACTGAGTGGCACAGACAGCTGATGCACTTCACTGGGTTTTGAGTCCACCCAGAGTCACCTTGGAAGGAAGGCCTAGAGATCTGCTTCACAAAATATCAGACACTGGAAACCTCACAGAGCACAGTTCTATTTTAACATGCACGGGGTCTCCATATGTCAAAGTCAACGCCATGGCCACTGCTAACCAGTCCTATCATTTGAATTCCTGAGTCCCTGCAACATCCTAGTTCAGGAGCAGCTGGGGAAAGCCCTGGAAGTTTAAGTTGATCTTGCTGAAAAATGGTGCTTTAGGCTGATTCTGGCACTATCAGCCTTGGCTGCACATTAGAATCACCAGGGGAGGGGAAAATGCTGATTCAGAGGCTACATCCTGATAGCAAGATTATCTGTCTCTGCGGCATGGAACCTGAGCATTGGTATAATTTTCTAAGGGCTCTCCTGGTGGCAGGATTGAGAACCTCTGAGCTATCCCTGAGAGGATTAGTGTTACAGTTCTTTTCTGAGAGAGTCCTGTTGTCCAGAGTCCCATCTAGTTTAGCATTTGTCTTGGATTTTTCCTTTCTTAATTAAATGTTATTAATAATTGCCTTAAAATGAGCCAGGATGGGTTTGGTTGAACTTTACTTTATACCCCTAGCTTTTGCCAAGGGCTCATCTGTTAGGATGTGAAATACACAGGTAATGGAGAAACATTTAATGATTTATAAATAGAACTTACTTGGCAAGTTATTTTTCATAAAAATGAGTGTTGAAGAATGTGCATGGAGATAAAAGATAGTACCTGTGTCATTTGTTGTTATTAGTTGCTGTCAAGTCAATTCTGACTCCTGGTGACCCCATGTGGTGCAGAGCAGAACTGCTCCAGAGGGTTTTCAAGGCTGCGATTTTTCAAAGGCACGTCACCATGACTTACTTCCAAGGTGCCTCTGGGTGGGTTTGAACTGCCAAGGTTTTGGTTAGTAGTCCAGCGGTTAATCATTTATGCCACCCAGGGACTCCTACTTGTATCGATGTTGTTAGGTGTCATTGAGTCATCTCCAACTCAGCGACCCTATGCACAGCAGAATGAAACACTGCCTGGTCTCGCGCCAGCTCCACGATCCTTGCTATACTTGACCCCATCATGGCAGCCACTGTGTCAATCCATCTCTTTGAGGGCCTTCCCCTCCTTTGTCAACGCTCTACCTTACCAAGCATGACATCCATCTCCAGGGAATGGTCCCTTCTGATAACATGACCAAAGTAGGTGAGACGAAGTCTGGCCATTCTCACTTCCAAGGAGCATTCAGGCTGCACTTCCTCTAGGACAGATTTGTTAGTTCTTTTAGCAGTCCATGGTACTTTCAGCATTCTTCACCAGCACCACATCTCAAAAGCATCAATTCTTCTTCGGTCTTCCTTATTCATTGTCCAGCTTTCACATGCATATGAGGCGATTGAAAATATCATGGCTTGTGTCAGGTTCACCTTAGTCCTCAAGGAGACGTCTTTGCTCTTCAGCACTTGAAAGAGGTCATTTGCAGCTGACTTGGCCGGTGTTATATGTCATCTGATGTCCTCACTGCTGCTTCCATTGGCATCGATTGCAGAACCAAGCAATGTGAAGTCTTTGACAACCTCAATCTTTTCTCCATTTATCATGATGCTGTTTATAGGCCCAGTTGTGAGAATTTTTGTTTTCTTTATACTGAGATGTAATCCATACTGCAGAGTGTATTCTTCAATCTTCATCAGTAAGTGCTTCAAGTCATCCTCACTTTCAGCAAGCAAAGTTGTGTTGTCAGCATATCGCAGATTGTTAATGATTCTTCCTCCAATCCTGATGCCACTTTCTTCTTCATATAGTCCAGCTATGCTCAGCATACAGATTGAATAAGTATGGTGAAAGGATACAATCCTGACTCATTCCCTTCTTGATTTTAAACCATGCAGTGTCCCCTTGTTCCATTTGAACGACAGCCTCCTGGTCCGTGTATAGGTTCCTCATGAGTACAAGTAAGTGTTCTGTATTTCCCATTCTTCTCAAAGTTATGCAGAGTTTGTTATGATACACACAATCAAATGCTTTTGCATAGTCAATAAAACACAGGTAAACAATTTTCTGGTATTCTTTGCTTTGAGCCAAGATCCATCTGACAGCAGCTATGATATCCCTTGTTCCACGTCCTCTTCTGAATCCAGCTTGCACACTGTATCAATACTTGGGATAAAATGCTTACATAAAAAATTGGAATTAGGGGAGTTCCGGTAAGATGGCAGACTAGGCAGAAAGACTGCACAGACCCTCTTCAACAAAGAAAAGGGAAACCAATTAACACAGAAGATAATCCTGGACCCCTGAGCCTT